TACCACCACCAAAAAATCAATAGATTTCCTATTGTGTTTGATCCTGATAGAAAAATTCAAACACCATGGAAAGTGCAGTGAGTCTTCGACTGGATTTAAGAAATGGAACCGGAAAGGAACAAAAAGGAGAGGCCAAAATTGCCATAAAAAAATCTTCAGTAGAGCATTCGAGAAAAGAGTACATGAGAGGCAAAGGTGGCCCTGATAATGCCTTCTGCACTTACAAAAGTGTAAGGCAGAGGACATGGGGCAAATGGGTGGCTGAAATCCAGGAGCCAAATTGCGGTGCAAAGGTCTGGCTTGGCACCTTCAATACTTCACTGGCAGCATGTGCTTATGATGATGTAGCCAAAAGGCTGTATGAAAGTTGTGCTAAACTCAGTTTGCCTGACGCTTCACCTTCGACAAGTAATTTCACTCCCGGTGATTTTTCTGTGCTGGATTATTACGAAAATATAAATGAAAATGAAAATTCAATGCTGGATGAAGCCTGCATATGTAGAGATATTAATGAGGAGTATGTGCCATGGGATACTCCAGTGCCAACCCTGCTTGATGAGAAACAAAATCTGAATTTTTTAGAATTTTTGGTGGCTGTGGTGGTGGTGGTGGTGGGAAGAAGGGGTGGGGATAAAGAGATATTGATTTTAAATTTTAGATTTTTAAATATTTATTTGAAAATTATTTTTACTTTTTTTTTTAAAAAAGTTGGGACTATAGTTACAGTTAGTTTTTTTTTTCTTTTTTCTTTTTGTATTATTTAAATAGGAAAATATATTCACAATTTTCAATCTTTATATTGGGAAAATAGACGGCAATGAGTATTTCGTGAATATTGGACGATTCTAGCTGTATTATAATTTAATTATTTTAATAATACTTTACTTTTCGTTTTTCAATATGTATTTAATTTATTTAATCGTTTAGTTACCATTAATGTACATATATATTTGACAAATTCGTTTCACCAGTATGCTTTCATTAATGTATAAATTTCATATTATTAATTCTCGATTAATTAACATTCACATTCATTTAATTAATATTCATCTTCATTTATACATTTCAATGTTTTTAATTCTAATTAACTTAGAGTTACAATTTCAAGAGTACATCTTATTATTCACGTCGATGTATGCTAATTAACATCTAGATTTACTTAATTAAAATTAAATAAATGATTTAACATTCATTATCACGCATATATTCCCTAGTATTAATTATAAATTAATTAGCATTCTCGTATATTCAAATACTACTTTCACAATAAGTATAGAACATTTCATAACAACGTGCAACACACGTTCAACGTTGACTAATTAAAAAATGTGTGGTGTGTAATTATCCTTAAATAACAAATAAAAAAAATATTCCAAGGGTATTTTTGACCGTCTAAGATTTTTTTAAAAAAAACTCTCTTATACGATATATGGTGTTCAGAATATTTAGATTATTTTTATGATTAGTTAGTCTTTCCTAACTACGCCGTATTAAATTAACAAATCAAATGAGGTGAGTTTAGACCGTATTATTTATTTCTAGTAATAAAGTGATGAATAATAAGAAAAATAGTACATAAAAATACAATTATAAGTACTTAAACATTCACTTATAAATAAAAAAAATTGTAACTATAAATTTAGTTATAAGTAAAACGACTTACAAAAAGGAAAAAGAAATTCACTTATATTTTAAAAATTGCTTAAAAAATAAAAATACTACACGTAGCTAAAAAAACTCATCTATAAGTAATTAAAATTACATATAACTTCACTTACAAGGTAAAAAATTGCTTATAAATAATTTTTTTTTACTTAAGTATTAAAAAAATTCACTTATAAGTAAAATATTGGCTTATAAGCAAAAAAAGACAATAAGTTGAAAATTTTCTTACAAATAAAAATAGTGAAAATTACACCCATTACTATTATACAAATTCAAAATTTATTTTTACTGCACACCTTTGTTCTAAAAGTACATTTTGAACCCGCTCAATTTTTTAGCCAAAATGTATTTTGAAATAATATTTTATTGGAGAATGTGTGCTTAAAAAAAAAATTGAATTTACGTGTAAAATTATTTTATGGGAGAATATATGGTTGAAAATGAGTTTCGAAAAAAAAATGAGTTTTTTTAAAAAAAATTGGGAGCCAAACATAAAATTAATTTGTAGTAAAAATGATTAATTCTAATGAAGTTAAATATTCCAAATTAACTTTATTTATGGAACAAACCCAAAATTCAAGGTAATGATCTCTCTTAAATTTATCTAAACAAAACATCACATAATCCTTTATTTCTGAATAATGTTATTAATAGTGAGAACTATCGGTAGTGGTCTTACATAACGTAGATGTGACAGTTTGTTATTTGATACATTAATGTAGTAGTTATTTATTGTCTGGAATAACAAAGTGCTACATGTATGACACGTAGGACAATTGTCTATAGTCTTTACTATGAATAATATTACTCTTCATTTATTGGACTCTCAAAAAATAATGCCTTACCATCATCATTCATTTCAGTCTTCAATTCAGAAGAAACTCTAATTTCAGTCTTAATAGAGCAACTGCAACAAAAATGGACAAGGGCTTAGGGTTTCTCAAACTTGTGTTGCGGTGATTTCTACTCCAATTTCTTCATTTTCCAAGGCACTATTGATAAGTGTGTGTTCACACTTATTTAATATCTAAATATGCTTTTTATTGATAAAATGAATGAAATTCTATTCACAATTATGTAATATTTGTTTTTGTAGGTCAAAAATCACACAAGGAAAGAGAACAAGGCAAAATGAGAAGAATGGACTAAAAGTGTACAAAATTATGAAGTTGGTGGCCAAATTGCACAAGTCAAAAAGTAGGACCTTGGGTTGCAATTTTTGGAGAGCATGATTGCTATGAAAGTCCAAATTTGAGGAACAAAATGTACAAGATCAAAGTTTAGGGGACTGATTGTGCAATTAACCGGAGGACTTGACAGCAAAATGGAAAAGGAAAGGATCTTGGTTTCACCTGAGGATCGTTTTAATTGTTTTTTAACTCAGGGACCAAAGCTGCAATTTTTGGAAATGAAATTTAAAACCTAAATGAAACTTCTTAGAGGCAGCAGCAGGTTTCCATGATTTCAATTTTTTTCATTTTCTTTTCTCTCCTTTTTCTTTCGTCCCTCAGTTTCTTTTACTCATCTTTTTCTTGTTACTTTGAGGACAAAATCTAGAGCACAACAAGGAGAATAAATCAAAAAAAATGTGGAGAAGAAGTGGGGGAATCAATATTCAAGCAAATCCATCCAAAACGGGTTTTATCTTTAATCTTGTATTGTCTTTATTATTTTCTATTATTCCTATTGCATTGAATAAATAATCTAATTTGTTATCATTTATATAACATTGGCTAAATTTTAATTGTTGGGATTTATGGTGGAAACTCAACCTAGCTTATATTGATTTCAATTTTTGCCTTTTAATGCTAAAATGTTTGTTTTCATGTGTATTTATTATTGTGTTGAATGATTTTCATTTATTTGGCTGTGAAATGATTGAATTTAGTGATTTGTATATTGTTCGAGAGAAGATTATACATTTTAGACAAAATAGTAAATATTCTAGGTTTGTATAGGGGATAAAAATATACTCCTAACCCTAGATGATCCATTGAGTTATTTTAACAAATACTTAATGCGGTTGTTTGGTTTGAATCAACATAGAGATATAGTAGGTTNTATTTTCACAAATATTTAATGTGGTTGTTTGGTTTAAATCAGCATAAAGATATAGTAGGTTAAACCAATCAATTAGGGTTAATTTTGCTCGAGAGAGGTTAACTAAACTTGGAAAATCGGGTCTAACATCGTAAATAAGTAATTTATTAATTGGTTTGTGGAGAAATTGATTAGGCAACGATTAAATTAAACCATGAATCCCAATCATGTTTTCTTCCAAACTTTCCAAGTGTTTACGTTTTCTTATTTTGTAGATCTTTAGTTAATTTTTCATATTTTCCAAAATCAAATTTTATTGTGTGTTTGTTTTTATTATTAAAATTAAATTGACTAAAGTTGTGTAATCGGAAGTAAACATTCCTCGAGTGATCAACAATCTGGACTCAAAAAGTCCACTTTATTACTTGAACGCGACCCGTGCACTTGCGGTAAATAATTTTGGCGAACAAGTTTTTGACGCCGTTGCCGGAGACTGTTTTATTTTAATTACCATCTTAGTTGGTTCTAATTTTCAAAAATTTTTAGTTTTTATTCTTTTTTTATATAGCTTTTATATCTTTATTGTGAAGTTGGCTTCTTAATTTTTATTTCCTTAGATTTTCGGTAGTGCATGCTTCATTTGAA